TACCAGACAACGCTATTCACTAACCTAAATTATTATTAATCGACAGTAATGGACTTTGGCCTATTACAGACTATTACAACCCATGTTATAACGTTACCGCTGTTACGATTTGCAAGGGCAAAAGCAAATTCTTTGGCGCCGTTTTATAAAACAATTTTAATGTAATGACGTCAGTGATACTAACGCCACATTATAAAACATACATAGAATACATAGGTACATATGTGCCCACATTTTAATATGTATTTTATAATAATATCTACTGATATCCACTGGATATCCGATGTATGTCCCATAAAGACACCTGTACCTACACATGTCCAATGAGGATATACATAGTATGTCCTCAACTAATCCATTAAGGAAATTGGACATGAAGGACGTAATAGGGACATAATCGTACATCCATAGGATATTGCGTGCTGTATGGGAGGTGACAGGGCATTCTAAAACGGTCATTTGGTTTTGGAAGGAAGGCAGAAAACGGGTTTGGATGACCTGTCACTGAAGTGCGGAGATTTGCAGCGAATTTGAGTGTGGCTTCAGGAAGAGAAGGGAGACCGGTTTCTTTCAAAATCTGGGAGTTTTTGACGAACCAGGGGTAGTTTAATGCGGAGCAAAGAATCCGCATGTATGTGGCGATGGGGAAGAGCGCATCCCCAGATGGGAATGGCATATGAGTATATGCTCCTGATGATCGCGTTGAACGCGCGGATTTTTGTTTTGAAAGAATGGCTTGAGTTAGATGAAAGCACCTAGGGCCTTGCCACGGGTGGCCAAGATGTGTTTGCGCCATGATAGGATTCTATCGAAAACGACGCCAAGGTATGTGACGAAAGTGCTCCATTCGATGGGGTGGTTGTTTACTATAATGGAGGGTGGTTTACGATGCCTACGAGAGAAGAAGATTGCTTCCGACTTGGTCTCGTTGATGGAAAGTTTCCATTTCCGGTACCAATTTAGGAGCAGGGGCATAAATTTGTTAATTCTAGCGGAACATTGTAGAATGGTCTTTGTAGAATCTATAAGGACTATGGGGTGGGACGGAATGTCTGCGCAGAACAGATTGAACAAAAGGGGCGATAATTTTGAGCCTTGGGGTACGCCGGCCGTGACTGGTCTGCTGGGAGAAAGGGCAGAACCAGCTCGGACACGAAGGGATCTATTCAAGAGGAAGGACCTTATTATCCCGATAAGGGAATGTGGGGTGTTGAGGGCGATAAGTTTTGAGATGGATCCGTCGTACCATACTCGGTCAAAGTCTTATTTAACGTCCAGAAGAGGTAGGGCGGTGTGAAGACGTTTGTTAAGGTTATCGGAAATATGTTTAGAAACACGGAGGAGCTGTTGGCCAGTGCCATGGCGGCGGCGGAACCCGTATTGGGATTCTGGAAGGATATTGTTTCGCTCCACATGGTCGAGGAGCCGGTCGAGTAGGACAGATTCTGCTACTTTGCTCAGAGAACTAAGCAAGCTGATAGGCCTGTAGCTTGAGGGAGAACTGAGAGGCTTCCCTTTTTTGGGGAGGCAGATGACGGTGGCTTCTTTCCAGACCGAAGGGAAGTGGTGGAGCCGCATGACAGCGTTGATGATGTTACAGAGAGCGGTAACGTATTTTGGCGGTAGGGCTTTTAGGACGCCGTTGGGGATTTTGTCAGCGCCTGGGGCTTTTCTTGATTTCAGAGATGAGGATAATAAGGTGAACTTCATGGGGGGGGGGCAGGCTTAAAATCGGGATCAGTGGGGGTGAAGTTTTGAGCTGTGGCTTAGGTATGCTCATGAAAGACGGCGAGATCCACAGGGCTTGGTAGTGGAGAGCATTGGAAGCAGAGAGAGTCTGCGAAAACTGCAGCCTTCTCTTCGTCTGAACAGTAGACAGTGCGGTTTTGCTTTAGGGGCGGGAGGTGGGGAGCTCTGTTTCGAAGAGAGCGGATCACTTTCCAAGCACTTTGGGGGTGTGTTTCTGCCTGTGAGATGTAATGGTCGAAAGAGGCGCTGCGGACTTCCGTAAGGCGAGATTTAAGTTCACGCTGTATGGCATTTAGTTCGGCACGTGAACGGGATTGCGGTGCCTTTGCCATAGGTGACGAGTCCTATTTTTCCTTTTGAGAAGGGCAAGAATATCCGGAGGTAGTGTTTTGGTCATGATCGAGTTGGGACGGGAAGATGTGGAGAGCTCGAGGCGTCGGTAATCTCGTTTGACAGGAGATTTACCGCTTCTTCGAGTTCCGCTATTGTGCGAATTGGAGTGCACTTAAAAGTAGAAGTTTCAAGGATGTAACGGAGATGTAGCCAATCTAGCGAAGTTATTGGTTTTGGTGGATTAAGAATTGGGCGGCCGACTTCTATTAGGACCGGAAGGTGGTCGGAATCTAATGCGTCAAGCGCGATCGGTTCAGCGGAAAGGTTGACATTTTTCGTGTCGAAGATGTCCAAAATGTCAGGTTGCTGCCTAGTAGGGGCGGGAATGAATGTGGGAGAATTGGGAGCTTCAGTTGTTAGATTGAAGTCCAAACTTTTGACAAGAAGTGATATGCCTTTAATATTGTTTTGTCGGCAACCCCAGGAGAGGTGTTTGACATTGAAGTCGCCTCCGACGATGGTCGGGATGTTTTGGTGGAAAAGAAGCGGTAGTTCTGTGAGATTATGCTCTGAAGGTGGTGAGTATAGGGAAAATACCTTGAGAGTGCCGGATGTTAGAGATACTTCAATGCCGACGATTTCTAGAGAGTTTGTAGGCGAAGGGATAGGCTTATGTTTAACAGAGTTCCTAACGAGAATGACTACACAGCTGCCTCTGGAATTTTCACGGTCCCTTCTGTAGGCCGTGAAATTTGGGAACAACACCGATTGATCGATCGTCGAGGAAGTGTTTGAGTTCGATCAATTTGTTTTTAATGCCACGGGCGTTCCACGTGACAATACGAAGGTGGTTTGGGAGAGCTGCGTTGCTCATTGGTGATTCTGTAAGACGGCGACTAAGTTGGCTACCATCTTTTTGGACGATAGCCTGAAGTTTCTGTTCTAATGGTGCGTTTGCCTTAGGCACAGAGGGGGTGGGATGACTTACAAAAATCGATGAACCTTATATACCCTAATCTCCCCCACTCAGGGTTACCTCACACTCATTTACAGAAAATATACAGGGTACCTACTTAAACAACTAGACATACATGATTATAATTATTAACAGGCAATATATAACTAGCAGTAATTAATCAGGGATAATTCATTGTTATTTACGCTAGATTTAAATAAAAAAAACTAATATGCATTACCATTATTAATAATTACTTATTAAATTAATAAAGTAGGTACCATTGCAGCTTTATTCAATTCATTCCTGTACTAATGTGAGTACACTTTATTAGTATTAAAATAGTCCCCAATCTTAAATGTATCAACTTATGATACATGAATAGAGGCAACTTTATTACAACCAACTTAATTGTTAGCTAAACACTTTTTCTCAGATTACCACGCTTCATCTGAACGACTGGTACCAGCCAATGTATATTTCCGAATTCAGAGTTGCGTAAAGTTACGTCATTAGCCGCCGCACTGTGTTTACGATTAATCTCATACCGCAAAAACTATAATAGCTAATAATATCAAATTTTAAGGGCATAACTAAAATATTGAGTACTACACAAAATCGTATAAAAACAAAAAAGAAATCGGAACAAGCCCATTATACAAATTTTTCCAACACCTAATTAGTTCTCATCAACACATCGTAAGCAGTTACGACAGATAAAGTTTCTTCATAAAGGCAAATTGATATATCAAGCTATTGACACTAGGTACAGTGGGAGAACCTATTTTTGGCCCAATTCTGTGTGAAAAAGCAGTTCAATTTAAGGAAAAACTTGGAGGGCCGTCGTACACGTATGACTGAATCAGTTCGATTATCCGAAAATACCGGTTTTCCGAACACCCAAGTTCGGATAATCGACGCTCTACTGTATATCAAATTTAAAATATTTGACAAGTAGCTACTTGCCAAACTGTATCAAACATGAGAAAACATGAATTGTTGTGAAGTAACAAAATAAATAAGTCGCCATTCAAATGAAGCTATTAGACTACAATCTCATGCTAAAAATCGAAGGGGTCAAATCACTCACCATAAATTATTTATAGGATTGTAGTACCATACGAGACAACAACTTTAAACAATATAGTTATAGTAGTTATATTTGTTATAAAACATAAGAAAATAAATTATTTTCTAAATCTTTACTCTTTTCCTGATAATTCGACGAAACAATGGATATTAATTACTAATTGCATTTGTCAACAAAGTCAGCCTACTGACCGATTTGATATTTTTTGTTTTTAGAATTTTATGTTCAGTTTCTTATAACTACACTTATGTAGTTCTTTCTAGTCCATCTACAAATTATTCCCATCCTTTCCTGATAAAAAATCCTCTACACTCTTACAGTGGTTCTTGCTAATTGCGTAAAATTTTAAATTTATATAACTGACAAAATATAGCATACCGTCCAACAGACAGAGCACGGAACCATCACTGGTCTATCTGCTATCTGCTGTTTAAAATATTTTTTTACTATTAGGTACATAATGGTATAGTTGCAATAATAAACGTGTCTTTTTTATTTTTAAAATCTTAAAATAAAATATTTTACAGTTGCAATACAAATTCATAAATTACGGAGTAAAAAAATACAAAAAGTTATTAAATTATTTTTTGCCATATATTTAATCGTTTGTACTATATTACTCTTCTTTTTAATAAATAATTTCCTCTAAGTATCTTATCTTTTTTTTCCATAGTAGGTTTATTATACAAAAAAATTGAATTTTATGTGAAACACGGAGTATAGATATTACCGACAAGATGTGATATCGTGAGAGTCATCCGTACATGCATTACGTTTGACACTTTTTACTTCTTCAGAATATACTCGGTACACTATTTTTCGTCTTCTTTTTTAACTGCAACAACATAACTGGTTTCTTCATTGGCTTCTGACTTTTCTATTTTAAACTGAATTTAAAAGCTCGCATTTTCACCGAAGTAGCTTTTAAGTTCTTTATTTTGAGTGATTAAGGTGTATTGACATCTTCGGCAGAAAACTTTGACTTCCGTTTTCGTTTTGATGAAGTAGATGTGGAAAACTTTCTCCGAGGGGAAATTCTTCTTTTAACAGTTTCAAAATCGGAATCAAAATCTGAGACACTATCACCTGTGTTATCTTCCAATGCATATGGGTTCCTAAAAACTAGCGTTTTAGTACAGAAATAGGCAGCTCGACATTATAGAATACAATATTATCTTGCTCAACATAAGTTTACAATTGGTTTTTTGATGTTTCTATTGGTAGATAAAATTTTACATAATAGTGGTACATCTTTTATGCCATCTTCAGATGATTTTGAATAATACAGGATAAAATTGCTTTTTACTGGAGCTATTCGATACACAAGATACACACGTTATTCAAGTATGAAAATGCACACAAATAATAATTTATACTTGATGTATCTCTGTACTTTCCACCTTAGTACAGGCCAAGCAGGCCTGCCACTAGCTGCCTGAGCGCCCGCGAAAAAAATCCCTGGAGAAAAAAAAAACGAAAAAAAAAAGCTTTGGAAAAAAACTCCTGGAAAAAATACCCCCATGAAAAAAGAAAAAACCAGAATTGTTTATTTGAACTATATCAGTGTATGCATTGCGCTATATTTGACTGAAATGTTAATCCTACTGTCTCAGAGCACCCCATTAGCACTTAAATTTGTTGTTCATACATTCGATTTTTATTAATAAATACATGGTTTCGTGTCAGCTTCACGTCAGATAGCACAAAATTATTGTATCGTGAATAACTTTTTTATTTGAAGAGTACCTAATTTATAACTTTGGCACCAAATTATCCCAAAAAGCCCCTAATTTTGGCATTTTCGAAATTCATTTTCGGGACTTTGTGGTGCCAGCTTCACAGGGCTGAAAATTTATATACACTATTCACAAATGATTGAACTTAATTTATGTGCTGCATACAACCGGTCTAATATGAATATTATTGCTTTTAATAAATGCTTCATATTTCTAATATTTGAAAATTTATTGAGGTTTATTATAAGGTCTCGTTTTAAAGAAATTTCCGGAAATTTGTCAGTAAGGTATTTTTTTATCGGGAGATTTTTGCCAGGGGCTTTTCTGGGAGTTTTTCCTGGGGATTTTTTTCCGTAAACCAAATAATAATAAATAAAATTTGAAAAAGGGAACAAATTAAAGAATAAACTNTGTATTTTAATTAAGTAAAAATATATTACTAAAAATTATCCGATAAATTTTAAAAATAAAAAGGAAAGGTGGAAAATGTTGACATTGGTAAAATTTTATTCTTATTTTGCTTGCTGTTGGTATTAAGATCCCTTCCTTCTATAAAAGTCTGAAAACATTTCCTTCACAAAAGAACATTTATTTAGTGAAATTTAAGCACAGATCCTTCACATTGACCAGACCTTCATCTGTTTATGGTAAGGGTCAGTTTTTAAGTATAAGATTTCAAAACGTCTATTTGTCAGCCACCTACTATTTGAAAATGACTTTAACAACATATTTAGCAAAAACAGAAGTTTTAGAGATGAACAAAGTTGATTAAGTAAGGTAAGGGTATGGTAGGTTAGGTTAGTAGTACATTTCCATTTTTTTTTTTTTTAATTACAACCTACATTACAAAATTTCTTAATTTTTTGTGTGCTAAAATGCACAAGCCTTTCACTATTTTCGTTGTAACTTATTCTTATAAAAAAAAGCGAAAATGTACATATTTGACCAACTGTATCTTAACTTAAACACTTTTAAACAAAAATACTATAATACAAAAGCTAATATTGGAAACGTGAGTTTTTAGATAATTAATCGTTTTATACAGACCTGCTAAACATATCAATTTACCAATACATACCATTCGCTATCATCCCCTTCAATAACTTCTTTCTTTATAACAACTTTATCAGGACTTCTTTAATAAAGTTGGAAAAAAATTATTCTTTGTCTAATAAAAATTAAATTTTATACTTACGCTTTTTGTTGATTTTTAGTGATTGATGATTTACTGGCACTCTAAAAATAGACAGAATCATTTACAAGTGCATTACATGAAATCGAAATAATAGTATATATACAGGGTGTCTTACGGTACCTTAGAATATTTCAGAAACTACTTCGAATGAAGGTTTAAAATTTTGGGGTTCAAAGTTTTCGAGGGTGCTCATTTTAAATAAAAGAGTAGCACTTCCGGTTACACCGGAAGTTGGCATTAACTTTCTTATTTTAAATGGAACACCCTGTGAATTTTTGAATTTTCAGAATCTACGTGTTATTTTAGAGGAACTTTTATAAAGCTTCCCCATGTCTAGGTCTACTAGACTTCGAGATATTTCAACTTTAACAAAATGATTTTTGATTGTCTAACTGAAAATTGCATTTTTCGTATATTATGCAAGCTGAAGTATTGATATTTGGAAGGAAGACAGAAGGATGCTCACCATTTACTACAGTTATGTTGAAAGTTACTTAGTATTATACAGGGTGATGAAAATTTAATACCGAATTTGCGTAACTTCGAACAATCAAAACTTTACTATTTCGATCACATTGTAACTGATTCCTTAAAATTCTTCTTAATTTCTTTCTAATAATTGGTGGCAAAGTGGGGTATCTCTCATTGAAATTTCTACATGTTCTGCTTATAACTCCATTGCTTTGTCCATGGATAAATAATAAATAAAAACATCAGCATTTGTATAAGTATTGTTTTTCATGATTTCAAAATTAATTGTTAACTACCACTAATAATAGCAAGTGGTGTCAAATCTGATGTTTTTGATTTATTATCAGGTTTAGCAACTCCATAGCTATCTTCACTGTAAATTCGATCATTTTAGTTACTTATAATAAAAAACGTAAATAACAGAAAAACTAAGAGATAGGTATGGGGAATACAAAGCATTTCATTAAAAAAAAGGTATTGATGGTTCGAAGTTACGCAAAATAGGTATTAAATTTTCATTACTCTGTAAAATACTAAATAACTTTTAACATTATGGTAGTGAATTATGGGCATTTCCATTTCTTCCTTTTAAATATCAATACTTCAACTTGAATAATAAAAGGTATATGCAATTTTGAGTTAGACAATAAAAAAACATTTTTTTGATAAGATTGAAATACCCGAAACAGTTTAAACATGGGGAAGCTTTATAAAAGTTTCTCTAAAATAACATACAGATTCGGAAAATTTAAAAATACACAGGGTGTTCCATTTAATATAAGAAAGTTGGTGTCAACTTCCGGTATACCCGGTATAAACGGAAGTGCTATAAGGATGGCATTATTTTATTAAAACTTAATTTGAAGTAGTTCACTTCACCTCACGCTGTAGCTGTACAAGAAAAACATGGAAACGAGTAATTTAGAATATAATATTTAATGTTAATGTTTATTCAAAATGTGGTTTTTATTCTTGGTATTTTTTAAGTTATCTAATAATCAATATTTTTAAACAAATCTATGTCAAGCAATGTATTATTAATAATGTAAAAATGGTATTGGATATTGATAAGTGTTTCTTTTTCTAGGCTGGCAGTCAAAAAACATATAACTAATGTTTTTTGTGTAACTTTTCGGTTTATTTATCCATAATCAAACTAAAATTAGCAACAACAAAATTAGAAAACAGTCCTACTTCAATTATTTATGTTATTTTGATTATTACAATAAATATTTACCTATTTTATTATTAGTCTATACCATATCGAGTCAAAAGACAAAGGTATTTCCCCGTGTGATCCTATATATTAGGACCAGACTGGGTCTTGCCAGTAGTTTCAAATGCGTTTTTCTCGAAAAGGTTGGACTTTCGGACCATCAAAGTGTGACTAAATTTTCTTGTTTTGTAGTGCCCTATCACTTCCTGCAAGCTTACTCCTTATTTCAGAAACAACCTGTATTTTGATAAGTTATAAGTTGGTACGCAATGTTGTTTAAGATCGAACAATGTGATATGTCTTGTTTGAGTAGCCTGAGAAAGTCATAAATGTAAGGTTATTACTATTGCTGTTTGCTGATGAAGTTATTTTTTACCCAATTGTTTATTAATTTGTTTATTTTATTTTTAATATTTACAGCAAGATCATTTTCTTCCCATTTATATGTGGATACGTCACGTCATTAAGTAGAGTTTAGCATTTTGATGCGATATTTTGATTTTTTGCTTCATTTAGTATAATTAAGTTGATTTTTTATTGTATTATTTGGGTATAGATATACTTTGTGCTTAAAGCTATTAAGAATGGTACAGATTTTGTTTCGGATTAAATTTATAATAGTTTCCCAACAAAATTCAATTCACAATAAAAAAAGCAAACAACAATTCTATAAACTTTTTAGATATAAAAATAAAACATAATGAGCAACAACCAAAATATTTTTAAATATTTTATATAATTCAAGTACAACTACATCTTAATTTATTTCTATTTAATTTACTATGTTAATCAAATAAACCACAACACAAAAACCATTGGTTATATATTTTTTTACCGTTACTTTGAAATAAAAAAAAACAATTACCTTAACCTTTTAACGACCAGGATATCAAAGATAAATTTGTAAATAAGTAAATAAAAAACAAGAAAACTAATAACTTAACCAAAATTAATGGATTAATTAATCAATAAATTCAACTTACATAACTCTCGTTCATTTCAACCGATTCGAATTGAACATAGTCAGCTGTATCAACTAAATCATCATCGTCCTCTAAGTAAGTATTTTCTTCTTTAATTGCACTTGTTGATTCAACAGAAGTATCAACAAAAAGGGACATATCGCCTAATTTTTCTTCCTGTAGATTTTGCAAAATAAATGGTTCCAGGATTTCATTCACTTCATCGATCACTTTCTTTTCATAAATTGTAAATTCTCCTTCTAACAAATGACCTCTCTAATAATAACAGAAAAAATGTAAAAATAGCAAAACTTAAAATTTAATGTAAACTAACCCCAACAACTTCTAAATTTTTACTAATGAACTGTGTACTCCGCAGACAGTTAAAAGGTAAAACTAGAACTAACAAGAGGAAATTAATACTAAAGTACAAAATGAGATTCGAAAAATGATTTATCTACATTTAAATAATAATTAAAAAAGGAACTGAAATCAACTAATTTTAAGTAAAATATTAGTCACGCAAAAAATGAGTAAGATATTTTACATCTATCAAATATGAAGAATAAGGAAATCATAACAAGACTTTGTCATAAAAAATATTTTCAGTCCGGTAGGGTGCTCCATTTCTTCTAGACGCTACCTAACTACCAATTCCCTGCACTTATCTCTACCAGTTTTTAAATTATTTAACTGTATTTGAAAAAAAAAAACACGATTTCAGCTGTTTAAATGAGACCAAGTATCTAAACCATAAAATCCAAAAACCTGCGGTTTGGAGAGTTTGTTTTAGCACGAAATACTGTATCTTTTTTGCCATGGGCAAAATGTGTACGTTATTTAGAGCCAGAAATATCGAAAGCGACTTTTGACAATCCTATAAGATAATTTTTTCAAATGGAATGACCCATATTAGATAATACCATTCGTTGCGAAATTAGAAGCACTTTCTACTAATATAAGGTTTTAGTTTATCTGTAAATGTTTTCCAGAAAAAAAATGATTATTTTATATTTAAAACCTTATATGAGTAAAAAGGGCTTTTAATTTCGCAACGAACGGTATCATTTTAATTTCGTACCATTAAAAAAAAGCTATTCGTCTTATAAGATAGTCAAAAGTAAGTTTCAAAATTTATGGCTCTAAATGTCTCAATAGTGTACTCATTTTGCCCATAGGTACAGGTACAGGTAAAACTAACGATCCAAAACGCAGGTTTTTAGCTTTTATGGTTTACAAAGGAACACCCTGTATACCTGAAAATATTTTCAGTATGTACATCAGATGATTCCAGATCACTTTTATAAAGACACTTTTTTCTATTGAAAGTTCAATAACAGAGTCATGGACGAAAACGACTTAGGTGGAAACATTGTATATGCAGATAAAATTATTTTAAATGCTCCATAAAAGAAATCCTGGCAAAAATCATAGAATTGAAATGCCACCCCACAATTGACATAATTTCTTACAATAAACGTTACCACAAAAATATATGACTTGTTTCTTTAAATAAGCATTACCACAAATATATATATGTAACTTATTTAAAATAAAAATTATGTAATGTGCTACTTACAAGTGCTTTCTGCAAAGAACGTTCTGATAAATAACAGTCGCCGAGAAGTTTAGAGGGCATTATAAAATATAACACCGACATAAGCTCTAAGGGGTTTCCCTGTAGAGAACCAGTGGTTATTAGCAGCCTTCTCAACGCCTAAAAAGCATGATAAATAGAAAAATAGAAAACGCCCTGCAAAGCTTTAGTTCATTCAAAAATATAAATATACTATATTAACAGTCGAAAAATAAATGCCCAGAACACAATATATTTAATTAAAGGCTATATATAACTACGTAACGCAAAATAAATCAATTTGTGATCTCCTTCCCCTACATAGCAGGCCCGAAACACTCTCCCCACACCATTCGGTTACCTCGAATTGATCGAATTTCGAAAACACGCCAAACTCATATGGGTTAGAAGATAATTAAATAAAACACCACCATCATAAGACCGTCATTCCTAAGACTGGTTGAACACACGCACATCCACTCCTTCCTACCCTCAGCCAATCTTCGCATTTCTCTAAAACTGGAACATCCCACATCCTTTACTATTTGTGAACAGTGATCTAATCTAAGTCTACCTCCACTCCTCTTAACTCCTGTTTCTGCCTCTAATATAACTTTGATTAGACCATCATACCTGAGAAGGTGTCCTACCAACCTATCTCGCCTATTTTTTATTGACTTCCATAGAGTCCTCTGTTCTTTTCTTTCTAGTACCTCTTCATTTCTAACCTCCTCTATCCACGGTATCCAAACATACACGTTTAATAATTTTTTTAAAATTTCTAAATTAACCGTTCGCGAGCATAGAAGTGGCTTTTTTTTATTGAAAGCGATTAGACCTTGCACTATCCTCTGCTTTATATCCCTACCTACTCCTTCCGTCTTGACTTATCTTCCTAGATACCTATAATCAACCACTTCTTCTAATTTTTCGTCTCCTATCTTTATATTCGTTCTTTCCCTACTTTTTTCCCTTGCATAACAGTATTTTAAATAAAACACTCACGTATGTAAACTTCTTCTCACACTACTATTACTTTCATTTAATTACTGTCTAAATAACACTTCTATTATCAATTAATTAACAATTCACCACTATATAAACATTTTATAACTTCTTCGCTCTTTCTTCTGTTTCTATCGCCCCGAACTCGCACTAGTGCTACTAATAATCCCACGATCTCTTGACAATTATTTATAGAAATTTCACGTTTAAGTACTTTCCAGTATATACCGTCTAGAAACCTGGTCTTATTTGTCACTATGTAAGTTGAGTTGCCTACATACATGTAACAATATACACACCCCAAAAATTGATATTTCAAAGTATTTTCTGAGTTAACGAAATGTGGCTAAAAACAGCACATATATACAACTGTTTATTCGATTATTTCGTACAGTCTATTCAAATTCTAATGTAGTTAATTCTATCGACATCTTACTATTTGTAATTTCCTGTAGTCCCTATTAATATTTTACTTCGTTTACTAACCGCATGTATACTTTCCCTTCTCTCCTAACTACAATTTTACGATGAGGTTCTTCGGTGATTTGGGACTAAATTCTATTTCTTGATATTTCTTATCTTCGGAACTTTCCAATCTTATTATTGGTGTCCTATTTTAATCTACCAACTACTGGCCCCTCCTTCATAGGTTTTCTAAACCATTATTTTTCATAACTTAAAAAGTTTGATCTGAATCTCTCTACCTTCAAATTAGATCTTTATTTCTCAAGTTTGTTTAAATATATCGTTGCTGTTGTAACCGTTATTTCTTCATCTTGCTTTATTTTCTTCATCCTCCGAATATGGAACACAAGAGTCTAAACTGGTGACCCCGACATCCCACTGCTGACGAAGTCAGCATCTTAAGAGTCAGTAATTGGTCCAGAGAAGTTTAAAAGTAGCCTTGCCACCGTTTAATTACGCCGATTCGGGACTGTGGTTTTCACAAGTTTAGCTGGGTTTCAACAAATCATCAGTAGTAAGTACATCATCGATAGCCGATATACTCGCGAAGCATATACGTCAGATGAAGAGGGAAGCTAACATTCGCGGCCGATAGCGTTCTCGCGCACAGTATGCTGGTGACGGTATTTGTTGCTACCACAAACAATTTGGCCAAGTGTACGCACTTCGTCTGAAGGTTCTGACAGGTACGACTGAAGACCGTCACAACGTGCAACCGATCTATCAAATACACAGAAACTCTTCCAACGGTGATGTAAGGACGGTTTGCAGTCCTCAGTTGCAGAAATACCACTTTGGCCTTCGTGCAAAAAATTAAGACAACAGTGCCGTTCTTCTTTAACGACCTCGTAAATTTAAACCAGGTATTCGTACGTCATGACAGGTTTAGTCAGTCTTGTGCTGATTATTCGAAGCAACGCTACTGTCTGTTATTTAACAACGACATCAAGATATAAAAGCCTCCTAATCGTACAATGACTATGGAAAGTAAGTCTGTTAGACTGCTTCCATCTGATGCAACGATATCTCTCGCTTACATTTATAATAGCTGGTGGGAAGCAGCGGCTCTCTGATCTCTTCTGCCGCGTATTTCAAAACAGTACAAACAGTGTCGTACTCTGTTGGTGGGTTATTTACGAAAGGTAAAACGAGGGGAACTTTCAAAGGACTAAGATTTGGAGTGATAGAAAGAGATAGCTTATGAGACACAAAAAGTAATTGCTGGTGATAAAGCTAGATATCTCGCTAATATTGTTTGGCATAAAATGTGTTATATTACATGTTCACATTTCCTTTATCACTGCATTACAATGTACTTGTCATTTGACATTTTTAACTTATACGCATTTTTATCTATTAATAATTCCAGTATGTTACGTACAGCAAAAAAAAACATTCAAATTTCATTTCTATTTCCGCATTATTGTTGCGCAAGAATGGAATTTTATTACATTAATTGTCTGTTCAATAAACCTCTATGTTCAGATTTTCCCAGGGTTGGTTATGAACCTGTTATTGGTCTGTCGAATAGATAGGACTTAGTTTTAAAAATTTTAATAGATAGGTACAGAGAACAATTTAAACCATCGTCTCGCCGACACAGTTAGCAAAATTTCCAGCTTCATCATCAACAATCACTTTTTGTTTGTTAACATCTATCTGTCTCCTTATTATATCATTCCAAATCTTAGTGGAATTCATAAAAGTAAAGAAAGTTTTATCATTTTTAAAGTTTCTGCGTTTTGAGTTTTACAAGTGAACCGATGTCGTTATCAGAACTAGTGCTATCAGTTGTAGAACTTTCCATTTCGTGCAATGCTGACTTTTAATAAAATCACCAAGAATTCTATACATAATTCAACTTATAACCCGTTATAAATTAAAAAACTGTACTAACAGTAGACAAGCGCGTGGCCATGCGTACCGACATATACTCATTCCTTCAAGCCGTTCTTGTACGAGGGTGTTCGTTTCAGGGATAAATAAATAGAACATTTTCTGCTACTAATTTAATGGCAAACATTTTATTTCATTTTTTTTTCCGAAAATTGATCGCTCCAGTAAATAAAAGGATCCTGCCACGATATGTAAGAGTGTTTTGTACTTTAATAATTCTGACGTCGTCAAAAATATTCCTGACAAATTTCAAAACATTACATTTTTTCTTCGTTATTATCGTAATTTTCTCTAATTTCTACGAACTATAGTGGATCAAGTAATAAAACAGTATAAAATCTAAACAGACAAACGATCGAAAAAAGCATTTAAAAAAATGCGTCAAATAATTCAATTTTTATGAATAATTAAAAAAGTAAAAGATTTAAAAAAACTTTTAGTGTGTTAGTACAATACGTCCTGATGTATGAAATATGAATAGGCAGAATAAGGTATTAAAATGACCACTGAACCTACATTTCTAAATTATATGTTAAATAAAAAAGTTCTAAAGAACAACTTTAGCAATAGATATATATATATATAGGGGCAAAGGATCAGTATGCTTAAATTTGCAAATGATATAGCAATATTACATTAAGCAAGGAGTTGCAGATACCTCTAAATAAAATGGAACCGATATTGACAAACCAGTATATTATGAAGATAAATAAAAGTAAAACAAAAACTTGGTATGCAGAGATGAAAAAGTAGAAAGACTGAATATAAATATAAAAGTCGAAAAATTAGAAGAATTATTTTCCGTACCTATGAAGTCAAATAATTTAGAGTCATCGTCATCTAAAAGAAGTCACAGTTATGCTCGCGGACGGTTAATTTAGAAATTCGAAATAGATTGTTAGAGGTGTGTGTTTGGAGCACGGATCCATATGGGTACGAAAAGTGGACAGTGAACGCAGCGGAAAAGAAAAGGTATGAAGCGGCCGAAATGTGGTGTTACTGGCGAATGATAATACCGTGGATAGAGAAGGTTAGAAATAAAAAAGTATTAGAACAGTAGGCGCTATAGAAATCAATAAGACATAGGCTAGATAAGTTGACAAGGCACTTTATCAGGCACAAAGGGCGACTTAGAAACATATTAGAAACAGAAAACAGAGTAAAGAGCAGTAGAGGTAGACCTAGATTAGATTACTGTTGCCAAGAATATGGGATGTTTATATTTTAGGAAAATGAGAACAATAGCTCAGGATATAAAATAATGGGGGTGCGTATCCAACCAGTCTTAGTACTGACGACCTTATGAAGATGATAATGATGATGATGGAAAAAGTTACATACCCTGGTTTTAATTAAATTATCGTACAACTGTATATTGATATTTTTTGCTGTATCTGTCTCATCAAAGACGACGTAGTCAGTTGTCATTGATCTAAATACTTCCCTCTCGTCTGCTATATGAACCACCACTGTGTATCTAAAACAAAGAAGAAATATATTTCGGAGCTAAAAGTAAGTGTCGTAAGCAAATCATTAATGCAACTTTTAGTATAGGAAAATCAGCGGACGCATAATCCGTATGCTGCGCCTGTGTGTAATTTTGTAATATAATGTACTACGGCCGCCATACTTTCATGATAAACATCGTGTCCAAAACAGTTTTGTGAAAAATGTTATAATTTTTTTAAGGATACGGGACTGTTTCTTGTTCTTACGGCAGTAAAAGTCACAGTGAAAGAAAACAAGCTACTATCAATTTATAAGTATGTACATATTTATTTAAAAAAGTAAAAACTGGAAATACTTTTTTATCAAGCAGTGTAAATTCCAGGAAATCCTGACACCAAGGGTGGTCTTACGGAAGTTTACGACAATTAACCCCTATCCTCCTCACGTAACGCTGAAACTAGAACATTTGTAGCCCCATATATGCCCCAGAGACTATTTAAAATAGACAACAAATTAAAAAATAATCTCGTGGTTCATACCATTTTTGTGCGTTCTATCACCTGACATGAATAATATTAAGAACTCACGCAAACGGAAATAAAAAATTACAAAAACGAAAAGCTTACAGTTGCCCGTTTAACATAATTGCAGCTTTTCTCGCTTTAATTGTTGCAAATTCTCACACCAGCCCTTTGCATTTAACGTTTGGGTCGAGTCGATATTCCACTGAAATTCAAATCTTCTAATTTTGTTTCACTAATGTTAATTTGAGAAGCGTTTTTATTAATTTAAGTTTGGAGAACCTCCTTTTTCCATAAAAAATTCTTACCGATAGTGTTAACAAAATACACAGCGCAACAGAGGTATTGGAAAAGAAGTGATTCTCAATTTAAATGCAAACAGGGTGGAGCAGAGAATTATCCTTAACTTTGAAAGTAAATAAAATAAAAATTAAGAAAGGTAAGTTACCTTTGTTTATTGTCTTTAAAATACACAATTTGGATTTTTTTATAGTGTAAAACAGGATATCATTTCGAATGATGACCTTCGTTGTTAATACACTATTATAAGCGGTTTGCAAATTGTTACTTCGACGTCTCTAAATTTCTGATTTGAAGTATTCCCATAAAAAAAGTCGCACGGAGTCAAATCTGGCAAACGCGTGGGTCGAGGAATACCACCAAACCCGAAAATTAAATGTCTGGGGAACATTACTGTCATAACAGCTGTTGAATTATAGGTCGTGTGAGCCGTAGCCTTATTTTGTTGTAGACAAGCCCAACCCCATATTCAATTGTGCAAAAATTCATTGATCAAACTGTTCAGAGGTTATAGTAATCGTACGACCATTCCCCTCGAAAAGGTAGGGTAACTTTTTCAATATTTTAAGGTCTCTCATAAACTTCCCTAAGATTGGCACCACTCCAATAGCAGATGTTTTGATTATTTACATCATCATATAGATGGAAATGCGCTTCGTTACTTAAATAAACCGTTGCGTTATCAGACACACTTCGAATTTTAGCCTCCTCGGATTTCCCTTAAGAAAATGGACCTTAAACAATAAAGATATTCTCAGGAACATATCAGAAGAAACACAATTTATCTCATTTTATTTGCAATGACAGTGTCACAAAAACCATAGGACTGCTATGGTGCTTAGCAAATGATACATTCCATTATTATTATTCTCCTGGTCTTCTCAGTTTTCACTGTATAACGCCTATTGATGATATTATTATTGGAATAATTCGAACTGTGTTCTGATTCCACATGTCGTTTATTTTATCTGCTGAAGGAATATATTTTTGAATTTTCTCAATATGTTTCTGTTTAAGATTTTCAGTGTTTGGTACAGCAACATCTATTAGGTAGGTCGTTTTAGTTTCTTTGATGGCCAGTGTGATATCAGGTCTGTTATGATTAACTGTTTTATCTGTAATTACGTCTCTATCCCAATAAAGCTTGGCTAAGTGGTTTTTCAATACATTTTGTGGTTTGTATTTGTAGTAGGGCTCTATCTGATCTATTATTATTATTATTATCCTGGTCATCTCAGTTTGCACTGGTAACATTGAGCAAGTGAAGACGGGCTAATGCCAAAGAACCTCACTCACATCTTTTGGGATATACAAACCAATCTTCTGTTCTTAAAATTTAGGGAGCTAATGGAAGTTGCTACAACGTAACGGCGCATCAGTGGGCGCCATGGTAATATTAAAAGATGAGAATACCCGACCTTTACATTGGAGGCATGAACTAATCCATGAGGTCTTCCCAAGGGATGATGGTAACGTCCATGTGGTTAATATAAAAACTAACGGCGGTATTGTAATTCTTTATTTTATTTTGTTTTGTTGCATTTTGAGTTTTAAACTAATGTATGATGTATAGCATATGTTATCGGTTTTATTTTATTTTATAAACTGAGACTGTGATTTTGTTTTTATTGAAGAAATTAACAAATGTTACATTCTCGGGTGATTGTACAAGGCATTTCCAATACCTCCATCTGATGTAATTATTGTAAATAACTTAATAATCTACCTTGATAAAGCGTTAGACCAAAAAGGCGGAATGTGGGTTGAGGATAACATAACAAATAATTAACAATTCACCCCTTCTGGTTGCTTTCTATTGAATAAATATTAATGTCATTGGGGAAGATAGTCTTTTTTATATATGCTTGGCAATGCTACTATGGCAATCACGTCCTGTAACACAGTTAATGCCATTGTACGCAGTCATCAGAAGAGTTAATTTATAATAACTATGCAACAAACAAATTAAAAAAAGAACAACAATAAGGAACAATAATACTTTTGGATTGATTTCCTTAATTTGCTTTTGCACTCTGGAATTTTTTACTTTCATGTTCGATCCGTTGGCATAACCCTATCCTAAAATTTCAGCTAATAGGCTATTCTTTTAATATAGCTTCTGTCAGTGCCCAAGAGAGGCACAAAGCCAAGGAAGTGTTTACGTTTTTCTACCTTGATCATTTATTTAGTCAGGCATAAATGGGTTTATTAAAACTCGTCCCACCGAATTCCGCAGCACCACCTTCCATGATTACATCGCTCAGGCAAAAACACATCTCAAAAGCACTTGAAAAGTGATCCGCTCTCTCCGAAACAGAAGTCGACATAACCCGCCGCTACAAGAAAACGGCTCTGTATACACTTCAGATGAGGAAAAAGCTGCAATTTTCGTAGACTCCTTCTGTCTTCACTACCCAGCCCTGTGGATCTTGCCGACATTCACGAGCAAACTAATGCTGCTTCCCAAAACTTCGTCCCCTCTGTCTTCGACTATAAGCACACGTCCTCCAGCGAAATCATCCTTGCATTCTGTCACCAAACCACATAACCACACTCTGCAACGTGACAAACGCTATCATGCGGCTCCACACTTCCCTCTGGTTTGGAAAGAAGCCACCTGTCATTTGTTTCCCTAAAAAAGGGAAACCCTTCAGCTAACCCTCAAGCTACAGGCCCATCAGCCTGCTCAATTCGCTGAGTGAAGTAGTTGAATCCGTCCTTCTGGACCGGCTTCTTGACCACGTGGAGCGAAGCAACCTCCTCCGCGACTTTCAATACGATTTCCGCAGTCACCACGACACCGGCCATCAACTTATTCGTGTTCCAGAACACATTATCGACAAACTAAAGAAGCGCCATCACACTTCCATCCTTCTGCTTGACATCCAGCAAGCTTTCGATCGAGTTTGGTACACAGATCTCATCTCCAAACTTATCGGCATAAACACCCCACATTTCCTAATCCGATCTTTCTTCTCTAACAGAACCCGTCGTGTTCGCGTTGCTTTATCTTCATACAAATACGTCACGCCCGGTATGCCCCAAGACTCCAAGCTGTTATGTTTCCGTTCAACCTTTCCTGTGCAGACATGTCGTCCCGTCCCTCGATCCTCACAACTCTTTACGCCGATGACATCGCCCTCATAAACTCCACCCAAACCATTCTACAGTGTTCCGAAAAAATTAACAAGTTTTTGCCCCTGCTCATAAATTAGTACTTAAGATGGAAACTCTCCATTAACGAGGCCAATTCGGAAGCAATTTTCTTCTCCCATAGGACCCAGAAACATCCCCCATCAAATGGAGCCATTTCATCACATACCTCGGCGTCACCTTCGACTGAATACTCACTTGGCAAACACATCCTAACCTCACGTTCCAAGGTTTTACGCGCTTTCGTCTCCCTCAAGCCCCCTTTTCAAAACAACTATATCTCCCACTAAATCAAAATCTGTGCGCTCAACGCAATCACCAAGAGAATCTGCTCCCACGCCACTTTCACCTGGGACTGCGTCCACCCCCGCCGCCCAAACTCGTCCATCTCGACACTTCCCGACTTTGTCTCTAAACCAAACGACTCTGTCACCTTCTACTCTGAACTGCTTCCTTTCCGCTCCTTCCTAGTTTTACTTTTTTAGAGCGAGTTCCCACCCAACTCATCCGAGGTGGGCCGCCAATTTCCCCCTCCTCCCCAATTATTTCCTTTCCTACATTCAATCCCCTTCCCGCTCCCAACCTCTTCCCACCGAACCTTCCCTGGGATGTATAACCTCCGGGTCGATCTCCCTACTCGAGGGGGGTTTTAGTCGGTAGATGCTTCGATGAATCCAACACTACCCCTCTTCAGATGACATCTTTTGACGACTTCCCTCCTCGAGGAAAAATTAAATAAAAAACATAAAAGAGAATATTCGACACTGAGAACTAGTGCGTACTGGTAAAATAACCATGTCACACGTAACGAAACGTTACCTACTACCGTCGTGTGCATATAAACAGATTGCACCAAGGGGGGGCACTTCCATAATACCTGTACCTTTATTTGCGAACATACAATTTTTAACTCAATAACCCCGGTAATATATAACATGGGAGAATAAAAACAGTGACGTTTTGTGCATTTGACGCATCCCTAAGAAGTAAATTAGAGTCACTGTAGCATTGCGTTCAGTTTCTGTGCTTACGTTAAATATATTTGTAAAAATTAGCTGTAGATAAAAAATTTAGAAAATACTAAAAATAACATGGATACATTTACGTGCTATACTTACGTTGTCAGTATCACATCATACATATACAGTTCGCCTTTATAAAATTTCAGCCTATGACCAGTTCTTTCTTCTTTTGAACCATGATAAACGAACACCTTCATTGACGGACAATACCGTTTGAATGCTTCGACCCAATTATCTATAGATTAAAAACGATCTTTTTACAATGTATTTTAGTTTTTTAATATACATGCAGGAATGAGACAGAGATATAGGAGTAATATACAGTTTGTAAAGAGCGACAGGTAATTGTGGAACTTAAGCAGTAACGTAGAGACGTAAATACAGTCGAACCTGGGCAAAAGAGAATTCAAGGGACTCAAATGTTATTCTCACTCACAGTTTTCTCATTTATAGAGGTTAATAAAAATAGAATATAAACATGGTGCTAGAGCGTTAAGAAATAGGTAATGCATAAGTATATACACATTTGGCTATAAATAGGTACATATTTTATTTATTTAAAAAAATTAGATAATTTTTTATGAGTATCCTTTTTACAATTTTGAATGTTTTTCATAAACTTTATCAAAAATTGAGGGATCAACATCAATCAATCACAATACAAAAAAAAAATAATTTTAATTTTTTGTGTGAACAACGTCAAACGTACTTTCTTCGATGATTGTTATCAACTGAAACCAAATGTTGAGGATGAGTACCATAACCAGGTAGGAACAAGCGCACAAGTGTGCTGCAGATGTCTAGTAATTGTAAATAGTTTCTCTTACAGAGGTCTAGAGTAAGAAACTTTCACTTACAGTGTTCTAAAAGTGAAAAATTACTCTCCCTAAAAGAGGTATTAACACTGTCACTCATTGAGGTTTTCGGGGATAAAACTGACGGGACGGGAATATTTTTGTGAGTTTTCTCACTTATCCAGTTTTCGCTTATCCAGTTTCGACTGTATTAAGAAAGGAGTCAGACAAAGATGCACACTGTCATCGTTACTTTTTAATCTATATACCGAAGACGAAAAAAAAATATTGCAAGTGAGTATGCAAGGGAAGACTAAATAGGGAAAGAGTGAATATAAAGGTGGCAATCGAAAAATTAGAAAAGAAAATCGATGTCTAGGAAGTCAGATAGCTCAGGATGGATGAAACAGTACAGATATATTAAAACAGAGAATAGCGGAGAGTAGAGTCGCCTTTAACAAAAAAAAAGTTACTTCTACGCTCGCGAACGGTTAATTCGAAAAAGATTACTTATTATTTTAAAGATGTTAATATAAGCTCAGGACAAGAAAGAGGTGGAGAGTCTCAGGACCTTACGATGATGATAATTTTTGAAGTGCTTATAGTAACTTTTACTTCAATTAATTTTTATACTTCAAATGAAATAAAAACCAAATAAATAGTTCAAATAAACGCAAACGTATTGTAAACATACGGCTTCCATTTTAATGGACGTAGACATTCCAACTAAAATTTAGAGAAAATAAATATAATCATTTGGGGCTACGATTTATAAGTTGTCACAGTAAAAGAAGTTTTTCTGAGGTAATTAAAAAAAAAATCTTTTTTATTGTTTTTCTTGCAAAAATAAACTTTGTTGTGTGTACACGCTTGCCCCAAAATCGTGGGACACAAAAATGATCTTTTTCTGTAACCCCGGAGAACGCTACTGTCGTTCGTCTGCAGATAATATTGTAGCAAGTACGAGCGTGTTTGTGTGCGATCGGGCACACGTGTGCGCGCACGGCATATCGATTCGCCGACTAGCCTCGGACGCCTTTCTTCATGTGTGCCGTACTTGTAAATGTGTATGTCGTACCTGTGTTCTGGGAAAGCAGTTAAATAGTTCAATGAAAAACACGATCCGGATGTTTCTAGAGGGTTCCAGAAAGGAAACAAAAGAGTATTTAAAGGAAGAGACGATCGCCTAGAGACAGTACAAATAAATTGACCGTTGCAGAAGTGAATCCAGAAATAAATTGATAGTGATAGCAGTAAAATAAATAGCGCAGTGAATAATGATATATCAACAGTAGTGTAAATAAATAATTTTTGTCGTTATCAGTATTAGAAATTAATTTTGTTAAACCCAGGAGCATTACAACTGGTGTCAAGTGTGGGGTCGAGTAAAAGACATTACAATGGCAAAGAAGTTGTACGAATTAAAAGTAGCCGAGTTAAGAAGAGAATTGGAAGAACGGGATGAAGCGACAAGCGGTAACAAAGCGGAACTTAAGTGGCGGCTCGCGGAGATGTTGAAAAAGCATGGTCCTGATCCTGAAACGTTGCTTTTCGAAGACGAATTGTCGCAAATGATGAAAAGTTTGAAATGTGAATTGGAAGAAAATAGTAAAAGTTTGAAACGTGAATTGGAAGAAAACAGTAAAAGTTTGAAAAATAAATTGGAAGAAAACAGTAGAAGTTTGGAAAAACGAACGGAATCCCTGCAAGAATTCGAGGCCGATATTGCGAGACTGTCCCTACTGGCCTATCCTAATACTCCAGAAGAATTGATGTAAAGGTTGGCAGTAGAGGCATTTACTGATGGACTTCGGGACAGTGACACTTAACAACGAATACGCCTCGACCGACCTAAGACGCTAGCTGATGCATTGGTTCGTGCATTGGAGTACGAAACTGTTAAACGGGCCTATAGCAAACAGGGAAGTGTTCGAAAGTTAGATAAAGAAACTCGAAAGCTACGATATGATATTGGAATTCCAGCGAACTAGGTCATTCGAGGAGGCAGTGTAGGAAAAGTACTCCTTCCCCAAGTACTCGACGTCAAACAAACTGCAAGCAGTGTAATCAAATGGAAAAGAATGAAGAGACAATTCGACGCATCACGGTAATTGATGACGAGTGGTTACCTGAAAATATAAAACACGACCAAGAATACGACCCGGACTTAAAGAAGGTGATGGAATAGAAAAGAGACGGAAAACGACCAACGTGGCAGCAAATTTCTTCTTATAACGAAGTACGAAAATCGTTATCGGCTCAGTGGGACACAATCATTTTGGAGGATGGCATCCTGAAGCGTGTTGTTGAAAGTCCGGATGGAAAGAAAGATAGGAAGCAACTGGTTACTCCGCGAAACAAGATTACAGAGGTGTTGCAGTATCTTCATGATGGATCATCTGGTGGCCATTTTGGAGTGAATAAGACACTTGGGAAAGTGCGAGAGCGATTTTATTGGGTGAACTGTAAGGATGATGTCAAGAATTGGTGTAAGAAGTGTACCACCTGTGCAGCGAGTAATGGACCACAGAAAAGGCCAAGGGCGCCAATGCGTAAATACAATGTCGGTGGCCCCTTCGAACGAATCGCAATCGACGTGACGGGTCCATTCCCAGAGTCCGAGAAAAGTAACAAGTACATCGTGGTCGTTATGGACTATTTTACCAAGTGGGTTGAAGCCTAAGCCCTTCCGAACCAGGAGTCGAAAACTATAGTTGAGGAGCTGGTGAATGAGTTGATCAGTCGTTTTGGGGTTCCACTGGAGTTGCACTCAGACCAAGGGAGGAATTTCGAATCGGCTATATTCCGCGGAATATGCGCGCTCCTAGGAATAAAGAAAACTCGAACTACTCCACTCCATCCACAATCGGACGGCATGGTTTTGCCTTTATTTTTAATGGCATACCGTTCATCTGTCCACGAAACGACTGGCTAAACACCTGCCAGTGTCCTTTTTGAAAGGGAGTTGACTACCTTGTGACCTCAAATTAGGCTGTAAACCAGGAGATGACTTGACAGGAGAAGAATATGTTACCAACCTCCGAAGAAAGCTTAACGATATCCACGAGTCGGTTAGTCTGCATACGCAGATTGCTAGTGACATGATTAAAGAAAACTACGATATCAAGGCTACAGCAGGTGGTTACCAAAGTGGAGATCTTGTTTGGTTGCATAATCCTCGTCGTCGCCGTGGACTATCACCTAAGTTCCAACAGAATTGGGAAGGACCCTATGAGATAGTGCAGAGGATTAATGACGTGATTTACCGAATTAGGTAAACTCCAAATGGGAAGCCGAAGGTAGTCCATTTTAATCGCTTGGCTCCATTCACCGATGCAAATGAAGAGGAGGCGCGGGCCAAATTATTAGGAACTATTCCTTCCGAGCCTACATTCGAAGAGTTCATGAAGGAAGGCCCCCATGTTAACAGGAGATTTGAAGTGACGCAAGAAATCCGAAGAGACCTTTTTGCTATATCTAAGGAATATTCTCTGGCCCATTACGTTTCAAAGGATCTCAGAATGAGCCGTGGTATCGCGTCCGTGTTCAAACGCAGATTTGGCGGTTTGGAAGGGAAGAAGACTGTTGTGCCTGCCTGACGTACGACGCAATACCTATTACCTAGTAACTAAGGAAAGATGCTCTGATAACCCAACTTATAGAGACCTTTGGGACTCAGTAATGGAGGATCGTACAGAACACGATCGAAATCCTGTTCCGCCATACTGGAATAGACATTTTGGTTTGCAATAATAACCCGAATCGGACCAATTATGGGAAGACCGTGGACTGTTACTTCTATTCCCGGAGCGGATTTCCTGAAGGCGAGAACTGCAGATTCCGGCATTATCCTACGGAACGGAAAGTGAAAATGTTTCAGGACGAAACATCCTTAAGGAGGGGGCAGTGTAGCAAGCACGAACGTATTTGTGTGCGATCAGGCACACGTGTGCGTGGACGGCTTATCGATTCGCCGACTAGCCGCGGGCGCCTTTCTTCATGTGCACCGTATCTGTAAATGTGTATGTCGTACCTACGTTCTGGGAAAACAGTTAAATAGTTCAAAGGAAAACTAAACGATCCGTAGTTTCTAAAGGATTCCAGAAACGAACATTACAATATAGATAATTATAAGTACACACAAGCATAAAAGGACACGAATGTTTCAATTTACTCACCTACAATATTGGAAGGTACAATAACCAAATGTGGCAAGCCATTTATGTTTCTTTTTCTTTCCTTCAATAATGAAAAAAAGGCAATTAGTTGAAGCATTCGACCTGATCCTAATGGGTAATTTAAAATTCCATTAACATTTTCTTTATGAATCACCATCATCCAATTTAGAACATCCACTTGACATTTTTTTAATCTACAACAAAAATACCCTGTTTATATCATATACATTAATTAGATTTTCATATTGTTATAGGAATCAAACCAAAATAGTAGCTCAACAGCGTTAAATATGCTTAAAAACCATTTATAAAAGTTACGTGCGTAAATGCCTACTAGTTCAGTACTACACATCAATACTGCTTATAACTCAGGTTAAACATAAATTTTCAGTTTAAAAGAAACTTCAATACATGCTAGTTGGTATCCATTGTTAACAAATATAATCTAAATGAGAAAATCAGTGAATTATAGGGAATTCAACTTTTCAATTATTAGTGCTTTTATTAAAAATGGAACGAAATAGAAAGTTTTACACTACTTCTGAAAGCGAAATTGTTTTACTTGTGAAATTCAAAACGCAAAAGCACTAAAAATATATATTATGTACAAAAGTTGACGATATAATAATCGAATCAACGGATAAAACTTTACTTTTATGAATTTTAAAGTTTTGATATGTACCAATGGTGTGGGGCACAACATGTATTACATTACCTATACGAGCAAACAAAATATTGAAAGTCTAAGGAAAAAGTGGAAAGGTTACAAGAGTATAGATAGATAGATATATAAATAAATGTGAATTTTGTCAGAAGCGGTCTGCTGAGAAGAGATTATCCCGAGTTTGCCTAAAAATATCGAAACTAACATGAAAAGCATTGCTACGAATTTTTTCAGAGGTAAACCACAGTCTATGAAGCAGGGAGTGTGACCTAGGTAATATTTTACCTCCACTGCTGTTAATTCATTGAAACCTATTCTTTTTCAATCTCCGAAAAGATCAAAGCAATGTTTTACAATTGAGAAGATTTCCAACTTTATCATCAGCAATCACTTTTTGTATATCATCACCTCTCTCTTTGTTTATACATTCTGAATCTTATTGTTAGTGGGATTCATAAAAATAAAGAAAGTTTTAATAAGTAAAATAAACAAACACTTAACGAGTCACATAAAATAAACTTATGTTCTTCACTCCTACAAACATAAACTATTTAAATTACCTTTATCTAAACAAAACTTCGAAAAATAAGTAATAACGATTAAACTCTTGACTAAAAATAACAGCTGTCATTTCTTTAATATACGACTTCATATACAAAAAACAGAAAAAACTTATCCATACATCCTTCTACTCCAACGCCATCGCTAAGAAAAGACCTACTTAATCTAATCTAACAAATAACAAACAATATGTGAGTACAAAAATACAAAAGAAATACAGCAAAGATTGTCATATTTCCCAGTGTGATCGTACCAGAGCCGGACTAACCTTTGCCTGTACTTTCTAACATTTTTCAAGAAAACGGTGGACTCTCGACCCACAAAACATTTACTTAATTTTCTTGTTTTATAGTACCCTCCTGCAAGCTTGTTACCTATTTCAAAAACATCTATATAGTGTTTATGATATAAATAAAAAAAATACACTAATTGCACCTATTGGAGATCACGTGGTTCGCCGGTTACGCCCACCATCCTATCCACAGGCGCATCAGCGCTCTCGTTTACTCTCGTTCCCGTTTACAGTTCAGTTATGATTCAACCATTGTACACGATTACTTTTTATTTTTTTCATTCCAATTATTTTGTATTCTTGAGTTTAATAAATCGGTTGTTTAAAATTTAGACGAGTGTTTCGTTTCCATTTGTCACCAAACCTCCAACAGGTTATGGGCCCAGGCAAATAAACACGCGGGTCTGAATAAACCGAAGAGAATAACCTCAACATGACCAGTCAACATTCAAGAGAACGGCGTGTCGGCGCGGCAGTCATCTTGTTTTTTCGAGAAGCTTCGAGGTGAAGCATGAAAGAACAAAAGACGCGTTCTTGGACATTGTGTACCCGATCGATTGTGAACAAAAAGTATATCGCGAGTGTTTCGGACAATAACACGCGACGCGGTTAAACTTGTTTGTTGTGTGTAACAAAGCGATCGTGAGTGTTTCGGATAATAACACGCGGCAAGATTGTAATCACCGGTGTTTCGGACAATAATATACATCGTGATAAATAAAAGTAAGGACATGAGTGCGAACGGTTCAGTGCATATTGAGGCTCTAGGCCGAGATAATTATGATATGTGGAAACTGAGGATCCGCGCCGTTTTAGTCAAGAATGGTATGTGGGTTTATGTCAACGGAACTTTGACCAAACCAGATCCGACGAAAAATAAAAATGTCAACGACGTAGACGTACAAGACTGGTTGACGAACAACAAGAAAGCTCTCTCCGACATCACTCTATCGCTCAGTGACAACCAGTTGATGACAGTAAACACTGTAAAAGGTCTCGCGAGGTGTGACTCAACCTGGGAAGCACAAATCAGTAAAAGGAGCCGGCTCGCAAGGCCGAGTTGCTCAAAAGTCTGATGATTCAGAAGATGACAGAAGGTAGTGATGTACGCGATCATCTTAGCAACTTCTTCGGAAACGTCGACAAGCTATCCAGAATGGACGTCACACTGGACCCGGATCAATTCACCATCCAACTGCTGTACAGTTTGCCTCCAAATTTCGAAAGTTTTCGAATCGCAATCGAGAGTCGAGACGAATTGCCAACCATTGAGAGCCTGTGCACCAAAATAATCGAGTAAAGCCACGCGAGAAACAACGCTTCATCGGTTGTTGATCAAGGTGCCATGTTCGCAAATAGGAAGGATCCCGGTAAAAAAAAAGCATCGACCGAAGCAAGCTCGGAACTCGAACGGGAAGAGCGACAAGGACACCTTTTTTTCCTACAAGTGCTCAAAGTGTGGAATTAAGGGAGACAAGGCAGCTAACTGCAAGGCCAAGGCGATACGTGCCAGATCGCAACGAGCGGTGTCGAGGACGTCTGGTGCCTCGACAGCGGATGCACTTCTCACCTGTGTGGCGACGCGACGAGATTTACCGAGCTGGACGAAAGCGAGACGGGACGGCTAAAATTGGTGAGCAGTGCAACGGCTGAGATAAGAGCGAAAGAAACGGCGATAATTGCGGTTAGCGTGGATGGCCATTGAAAAGTGAGAGACTTCCTGAAGACCAAGTTCGAGATCAAGGACTTAGGCGACGTGCGGTATTGCTTGGGCTGGATTTCGAGAGAGGCGCCAACGAGATGAGGATTTTCCAGAAAGGATACATCGACGAGATCTTGGAGATTGGGCATGTCAGAATGCAGGCCTGTCAGTACGCTCATGGAACCGAGAACGAAGCTGCGGAAGGAGGACGAGAAGTCTGACGAACAAGCTGAGAGCTTCTCCTACCGCCAACTGATAGGAGCTCTAATGTATCTGTCAGTGGGCACATATCACGCGGTGAGTGCTTTATCGCAGTTCAATGACTGCCACGAGGAACAGCACTGGAATGCTGCAAAGCGTGTTTTGCGATATCTCGCAGACACGCGACCTGGGTCTCCTGTTCTCCAAGTCCGATGATCCAGCAGCGATGTTCGTGGACGCTGACTGGGGAAACTGCATCGTGGATCGGAAGTCGTACAGAGGGTACGCATTCGTCATGAACGGCGCAGCGATGAGCTGGGAGTCCCGGAAGCAACCGACGGTAGCAAGGCCGAAGCACGAGAGGTGTGTCCAAGGTCTTGGTTTGGAACCTCGTAGACAAAGATAACTCGGTGGTTTTCTCTGCGGCTGTTGGTCGAGGGGAAGTATTGGAGATCACGTGGTTCGCCGGTTACGCCCACCATCCTATTCACAGGCGCATCAGCGCTCTCGTTCCCGTTACAGTGCAGTTATGATTCGACCATTGTACACGATTACTTTTTATTTTTTCATTCACTGAGTTTAATAAATCGGTTGTTTAAAATTTAGACGAGTGTTTCGTTTCCATTTGTCACAAAACCTCCAACAGCACCTTAGACGATGTTGCTTACTATAAATTAGGTGTCTGTGTTCTTCCTTTGGCGTTAGTATTACTTTGAAGCAAGATTCCTTCAATATACCTACAATTCACTTTTGATTCTTGTTTCTGATTCGTAATAATTTGAATAAAAAATTAGCCAGAATAATATTACCACCTAACATTAAAATACTATTTATGTGTCGTAATATTACTTCTCTGCATCAATATCAATTAAATAATAAAGATTCACAATCTTACAAATATAAAAGCTGTTTCGGCTGAAGCGTAACAACAGAAGTCTTTTGTAGAGCCTTTTTAACATCTTCCGATATTGTTTTCGTTCTTTCCAATATTTGATCAATCTTTAACTGTACATTAAACATTTCTTTAGCAATTGCTACCATATCATGAGGAAAACTTTTCTTTAACTGGAGTTCCTATAAAAAAAAGTTAAGAAGCAATTTAACTATCATAGACTAGTTAAATACTACCAAATCCGACCAATTCGCAAACGGCCTTAAGCCGTAAATTTTTTCAGCAACGTCATGTCCTTTGTCTGGGTTGGTATTAAGGAATTTCAGCTCTTCAAAAGTCGCGTTTTGAAAGAAGTTCAAAACTCTTTCATCTGACTCATCCAAAATATTTGAATCTGTGTAACTAAAAATTTTAATACATTTGTTAGAAAAAACTAAGACATATTATTTAATTACTCACTCTTCCATAGGTTCCTCTTTAATAAAAACCGCTTCCTCCTCAACTTCCTGTGTCTTCACAACATTACGCTCTATTCGTAATTTCTGTTTATTTTTGACTCCTAAAGCATACACATATATACATACACACCGCTACATTTAAATAGTACTATAACAAAAGGCATATTTACACTAAATGTTTATTTATTTATACACAAAAAATTCAAATAAATATTAAACAACAAATACGTGAGTCCACTTCTAGCTTGGACTGTAACTCTACAAACTTAAAATAACACTAGTCATCGATAAATTTTAGTCATTGTTTAAAGTTGCCAACTCGAAAATGCTTTCAAACCAACTATTCGTACAATAAACCTTAGTGTTTTAACCTAGGGCAGACTACTAAAGAATTAGTTGGGATCAAGTGGCTACTTTTCAGTACTTAAAGTACCCGAACCCCGGACCATATCTAGAAGGCGACCAAAAAGGCGGCAGATATGGAACAGCACGACTCAGAAACTTTAGCAACACTTGGCTACAAGCGTGTACAATTCCTCGAAATATTGTGTCCTATGTATGTGTCGTAAACTGGAAATGCGAGTTTTATGTCCTTTTTTAGCTGAAGATAAGCAATAGTCCTATAATAAGTGAGGAAGATGACTTTTAGTCGGTGGGATTACTCTCATAACATTATCGATTTTTATCTATTATTTATCTACATATATAATTTTTGTCCGGGATAAACTCCGAAACTACTCAACCAATTTTTATGACCCAACATGCATAGCGACTAAGAAAACCAGATTTTCTAGACGTCAAAAGTTGACGGTGTTGTTATCAACATGTGTGCTATCAACACATGTTATATTTTAGACGACAATATGTAAAGGAAATGTCACGATAATCGATATTTATTGATTAACCGTTGCAACTGTTTAACTTATTGTTGTTTATAAACATTAAAAACCGTTGGTTACTAATACTTAATTTTCCGTTAGGGCCGTTGACTTTTACAGAAATATGATTGGATGATTTTAAAATGACCGTTAATGAATGCAACGAAGTGATTGGAAAATTAATTATTAAGTGGAGGGAATGCGTGATCATATAAATAGGTTTTGAGGGATGGAAAGCCATATTCAAGGTAGAAAGAAAAAGATAACTTTAGAACTAAAATATTTTTGAAATAACAGAGGTCTTGTAACAATTACTGTAATTAACTTTAATTAAATAAAGCAAATAAAATCAACATCCTGTACAAATTTTGCTACACACACTTCAATATATTTTGCTATTAAGATTGGGTAAACATGAAGTAGATGGCCATGTCCATTTGAGGCTTGCACTTGAAAAAATCGTGTTAGCTAGAGCTAACAATAAAAAAAAAAACATATCCCAACCTTCTCCTGCCTAGTATATCAGCTTTTCATGTAATATAGAGCATTTTTTCTTATACAATACATAAGCGGAATCTAGGCTCGTTTTGAGATAAGGGAGAAGGGGGAGGAGAAGTCGAAGAAAATGTCGTTTAACTTAACTTTTAACGATATAATTTACATAAAATACTATACATTTCGGGAATATATTCATAGGATAGACCTACATTTTTTTTATTTTTCTCCTCCTCCCTCCTTATCTTCAAATGAGTCCAGATTCCGTCTATGCAGGGTGCAACAGAAATAAGTGCCAAGCTTGCAGAAGGTGATAGAGCACTGTAAAACAAGAAAATTAAGTAAATGCTAGCATGTCCAAAAATTTTCTGTTTCACGTAGTAGAAAGTACAGGTTTCAATTTCGGCCCTGTTTCATAAATCCGTCCCATATCGCTGCACTAGAACAGAGCCGAGCAAACTTTAACTTCGCAGGAGCCGCTACATGAGGTTAGTTTGAGTCACTCCATACCCTTCAATGAGTACGAGAGAGTAAGCAGTAATGAATAATTTTGTTTTGTGTTTTTCTTCTCCCTTCCATATCAAGCCCCTTCATCCCGTAGACGAGCGAAGCCACTCTCGCAACTTAAATAATACCTACGAAAATTTTCGTTACTACGTTCGCAAAACTATTGGGTTTGGCTATGGAAGAGGGGACTCACCTACGAAATGGAAGGGATAAGAAAAGGAAAGAATCATCTCACTCGCACTCGCAGGATCAATGAGGAGCTACTTGGTTAACCTTGAGGATCACTCGGGATGCAAAAGATCCGAGTTTGCCCGGCTCTGGT